CAAACCCTTCCATATGGGCATATTTGATCTTTCCAGAAAATATGCAGGTTAGAGACCTAGAAATGGAATTAGAACAAAAGGTTTAATTCTGGGCTGCTTTGGATATTTGCTTGCCCACACCTCACATCCCCTTCCAGGGATGGATGCTCACGTCACTAACTTCATCTGCAAATAGAAACAGCTTTACTTTTTTAATCTGCATACCTTCCCTTCAACAGCTTTATTTACCATACAATTCACACATTGCAAGTATGTAATTTGGGGCGCCAGGATGGCTCAGTTGGTTAAGTGTCCTACTCTTGAATATCAGCTCAGGTCTTGATCTCAGGGTCATGAGTTCAAGCCCCGCACTGAACGCCCCCACACTAGGCGTGGAGCCCACTTAAAAAAAAAAAAGTATATAATTCAATGGTTTTCGATATATTCACAGACACATGCAACCATGACCTCAAGAGGAACTCTGTACCCTTTAGCTATCACCCCATATCTCTCATCCTCTCAGCCCTAAGCAGCATCAATTTGCTTTCTGTCTCTGTTTCTGGACATTTCATGTGAATCGAATCTCATAACATATGGTCTTTATGACTGGCTTCTTTCACTTAGCATAATGATCTCAGGGTTCATCCATGGTGTAGCATATATCAGTAGTTCATTCCTTTTTATGGATGAATAATACTCCATTGCAGGGATATACCCTATTTTGTCTGTCCACTCATCAGATGGTGGGCATCTGGGTTCTTAGGAATAATCCTAATGTAAACATTCACATACAAGTTTTTGTGTGGACCTGTGTTTTCATTTCTCTTGGGTATATACCTAGGAGTTGAACTGCTGGGTCATATAGTAACTTTATATTTAATTATTTGAGACCTTGCCAAACTGGTTTTCGAAACAACTGTACCATTTTATTCCTACCGTTAGTGTATGAGGGTTCCAATTTGTCCACATCCTCACCAACACTTGTTACTATGTCTTTTCTATTCTAGCCATCTTAGTATAAGGTAGCACCTCATGGTGCTTTTGATTTTCATTTCCCTGATAACTGGTGATGTCAAGCATCTTTTCATGTTCTTATGTAGGCATTGTACATCTTCGCTGGAGAAATGTCTATTCAAATCCCTTACTCATTTTTTAATTGGGTTGTTTGCCTTTTATTAAGTTGTAAGAATTTTTACAGATTCTGGATATAAGTCCCTTATCAGATATGTGATTTGCAAGTATTTCCCCCCATTCTGCAGATTGTCTATTCATTTTTTTTTTTAAAGAAGATTTTATTTATTTGACAGAGAGAGACACAGCGAGAGAGGGAACACAAGCAGGGGGAGTGGGAGAGGGAGAAGTAGGCTTCCCGCCGAGCAAGGAGCCCGACGCGGGGTGGGGCTCAATCCCAGGACTCTGGGATCATGACACGAGCCAAAGGCAGACACTCAATGACTGAGCCACCCAGATGCCCCTATTCACTTTTTTTTTTTAAGACTTTATTTTTAGGGGCGCCTGGGTGGCTCAGTTGGTTAAGCGACTGCCTTCGGCTCAGGTCATGATCCTGGAGTCCCGGGATCGAGTCCCGCATCGGGCTCCCTGCTCGGCAGGGAGTCTGCTTCTCCCTCTGACCCTCCTCCCTCTCATGCTCTCTGTCTCTCATTCTCTCTATCTCAAATAAATAAATAAAATCTTTAAAAAAAAAAAAGACTTTATTTTTAAATAATCTCTACACCCAACGTGGGGCTTGAACTTACAACCGGGAGATCAAGGGTGCACGCTCCTCCCAATGAGCCAGCTGGGCGCCCCCTATTCACTTTTTTAATGGTGTCTTTTGAAACACAAAAGTTTTTAATTTTCATGAAGTCCAGTTTATCTATCTCCATGCAGTAAGCTGGGGAAGTCAGAGGGCTCACCTTGTTTTTTTCTCTTCTCTTATGAATTAATGTCCTGTGTTGCTTTTTTTTTTTTTAAGATTTTATTTATTTATTTGACAGAGAGAGAGTGAGAGAGCACAACCAGGGGGAGCAGCAGAGGGAGAGGGAGAAGCAGACTCCCTGCTAGGCAGGGAGCCCGATGTGGGGCTCCATCCCAGAACCCTGGGATCATGACCTGAGCTGAAGGCAGGCACTTAACCGAGCCACCCAGGCACCCCTGTCCTGTGCTTCTTTGTTATTCAGTGTCTGAAGACTATAGTTTCCCATGTTTTTTTAAGATTTTTTTTTTTTTAATTCATCTGAGAGAGAGAGAGACAGAGAGAGCACAGGCAGGGGAAGAGGCAGAGGGAAAGGGAGAAGCAGACTCCCTGCTGAGCAGGGAGCCCAATGTGGAACTTGATCGCAGGACCTGGAGATCATGACCTGAGCTGAAGGCAGGCTTAAGCTTAACCATCTGAGCCACCCAGGAGTCCCTATAGTTTCCTATTTTTTGCTTGTTTTTCTGTGTAAAGGAAGACAATCAATCTGATCACTCTTCTCCATCAGAGCAAAAAGCAGAAATCCAAGTTTTGATATATAGTTCTCATTATTGTTCTGTTCTAAATATTTTCTAATTCATATTATTATTTATCGGTTATTTAGAATGTATTTCTTAAATTCCAAACATACAACTTTTTAGTTATTTATTTTTATCTAATTGCATTGTGATGAGAGAATATGCTGTATATGATTTCAGAGCTCTCGCAGTGGTTGAGATTTCTTTTCCTGCCCACCATTTGGACAAACTTTTTTCCCTAGGTAAGCTCCATGCCCAGTGTGGAGCTTGAACTCACGACCCTGAGATCAGGAGTCACATGCTCTACTGACTGAGTCAACCAGGCACCCCTGGACAATTTTTGTAAATGCTCTGGATGCACCTAAAAAGAACAAGTATCTAGTGGCAGTTGGGTATAGGATTCTTTATATGTCCATTGGATCAAGTTTGTTAATTGTGTTGTTTCAATATTCCGTATCCTTGGTAATTTTTTTCTGCCTATTCTATCAATTACTAAGAGAAGTATGTAATGTATCATACTTGTGGATCCATTTATCCTTACTTTTAAGATATTTCTCTCATGTATGGCATATACTTAGAGGTTTTCTTGAAAACCTATTTTTTTGATCTTGATCTTTTTTTTATTTTTTTAAAGATTTTATTTATTCATTTGACAGAGAGAGAGATAGCGAGAGAGGGAACACAAGCAGGGGGAGTGGGAGAGGGAGAAGCAGGCTTCCCGCAGAGCAGGGAGCCCGATGCAGGGCTCGATCTCAGGATCCTGGGATCATGACCTGAGCCGAAGGCAGACGCTTAACGACTGAGCCACCCAAGCGCCCCTTGATCTTGATCTTTTAACTAAAACATTTTCTCACTTACATTTAATATAATTACTGTTTTATAAAATTCTGCTGGTACCAAGTTTCTTCGGTTCTTACAGTGTATTTCTTTTGCTCTCCTTTTACTTTGAACACTATGTCACAAGCTACTTTTATCAATTAGCTAACAACCAGTCCAAAACTTAAAATAAGCTTCAAACAATCATTTTTATTATTTCTCATGATATTATGTGTTGATTTTGTGGCCTGGGCCAGCTTAGTTGATCTCTGCAGCTGCTGCGGGCGTGGCCAGGGCTGGATAGTCTAAGAAGGCCTCCTTCACACCGTTGGCAGTTGGCAGCCTGTCTGGTCTTGGGTGGGGGCAACGCTCAGCTGGAATTACTTGTTTCTGCTCCGTGTAGTTTCTCATCCTCAACAGTCCAAGTTTCTTTACATAGTGGTTTCAGAATTCCACAGCCATAAGATAGGGCAAGCTCTGAGGCACAGTTTTTAATCCTCTGCTTTTGTTACATTTGCTATTATCTCGTTGGCCAAAACAAATCATAAGGCCCAGTCAGAAAGAAGAGGTGGAGATTCGTCTCTTGACGGGACAAGTGGCAAATTCACAATATAAAGGATGAGTGCACAGGGGCAAGAGGAATTACTGTGGTCATTTCCACAATCAATCTACCAAGCTGCCTTACCAAGAACACTGGAATTAAGTCAAAAGACAAATGACAAACCTGAAAAAAATATTTACAATGCAAACCACAAAAGATTAATTTAGCTAATACACAAGGAGCTTCTATAAATTGTTAAGCTAAAGACCAAATTGCAATGCCTAAATGGCTAAATGATATGGACAATTTCCAAAAAAGGAAATACAAATGTCTCTCGTATTTTGTATCTCCACATATTTGTGGGAAAGGAGAGGGAAATTTTTTTTTTTTAAAGATTTTTTATTTTATTATTTATTTGACATAGAGAGAGAGACAGTGAGAGGGGGAACACAAGCAGGGGGAGTGGGAGAGGGAGAAGCAGGCTTCCCGCCAAGCAGGGAGCCCGATGTGGGGTTCGATCCCAGGACCATGGGATCATGACCTGAGCCGAAGGCAGACGCCTAACGACTGAGCCACCCAGGCGTCCCAAGAGAGGGAAATTTTTTTTCTTTAAAGATTTTATTTATTTATTTGATAGAGAGAGACATAGCCAGAGAGGGAACACAAGCAGGGGGAGTGGGAGAGGGAGAAGCAGGCTTCCCGCGGAGCAGGGAGCCCAAAGCAGGGCTCGATCCCAGGACCCTGGGACAATGACCTGAGCTGAAGGCAGACGCTTAACGACTGAGCCACCCAGGCGCCCCAGGAGAGGGAAATTTTTAAGGTCATTTAGATAATCTTTAAAAAACTGATGGCAAACAAAACAAAACTGATTGCTTCTTTTTTTTTTTTTTAACTGACTGCTTCCTAATCTTAACATGGTGCAAAATTCTTAAAAGTACAAAAAGGAACAGAGTGAAAAATTTCTTTCTTTTTCCCTACACCACATTTGTGAAGTCCTTTGATTTTACTTATTAAAGATTTTACCACACAGGAATATTTAATATTTCCAAATTTTCAAATATTTCTATCATTTCATTTATGGCTCCTGGATTTGGGATGCGTGTTACTGACTGAGTGTACGATTATTTAAGAGTCAAAACATTAAAGCTTCTTCATGGTTCCTCTCACTCTCTTTTTTTTTTTTTTTTTAACATTTAAATTTTTGATTTTTGGGATTATCCTGACATAAGGTGTAAAGTAAGGATCTAGCACCATGTGTTGAATTATCCATCTCTCCACTACTGATTTAAAAGGTCATCTCTTTCATAAACTAAATTCCTGCATATATTAACATTTGGATAGGCAGGTGAGCTGATCAGAAGGAATGACAGCAGAGCCCTGGAGGGAGGAGTGGGAGAAACATAACCAAGTTGCAGAACTCTTCACTTAGCTGACCTCATAAGTGACTGCATGACAAATATCATAATGTTCACCAAAGAGACCCAGTGAGGGACACTTAACTGCCAGCAACATAGAGAACCCACAATGCTTTTTAATATGAAAACTATGTATTTGGGCACAGAAATGCAATATATAACCAGAAACCACTGTTTATCAACAGTGACATTACTATCTCATCTAAGAACACAGGAGTTAAGTTATTAAGGAAGGCCAAGAGAAAACAATTCTTTCAAGTCCTACTCAATGTACTCTGTTAGGGAAGATGAAGCTTACTTGACACTGGTCACAGTTCCATCATGTCCACTTTCTTTGTAAGTTCAGCTTCAATGGTATCCTAAAGGAAGAAAGAAACACCATAAATTCTATAAACAAGGACATATTGTGCAAGACTGTTGAATCTCAGATCTGTACCTCTGAAACAAATAATGCAATATATGTTAAGGAAAAAAAAAAGAAGAAGAAGAGAAGAAGGTAGCAGGAGGGGAAGAATGAAGCGGGGGAAATCGGAGGGGTAGATGAACCATGAGAGATGATGGACTCTGAAAAACAAACTGAGGGTTC